AAAGATGACCAATGCATTTGACACAGTTCAGACTAGATGTAGTGGTATGTTTTAGATGTGTCAAAAAGATAATGTGAAAACTAAATATGAAAGCATATGTATACAAAATACATTACAAAATACCCAGATAACCTAATTACATTTCTCATTTACTTTATCTTATGGTCTTTAAGAGGGAAACCGTGTAGCACTAACGATAAGAGAGTACATATTATGCACGAAATACTCTCAGTACTGAAGTCTAGTCAACTGGCCATAATGGATAATAAGCTTAATGTATCCAATTACAACTTCTATCTGTTTATCATTAATCTGGTGGTAAATCCTCATGCTTTATTGAATTCAGTCATAATTGCTCATTTTATATGACACCTTATTACTAATTGAGATACATTCTGTCATCTGTAAAACAGCATCTTGGGAAGAATAGTTTAATGATGCCACTACTGTGCCCAATGCTGTCGCCAACACTCCTCTGCACTGCAGCCACGGTAAAAAAAGAATCAAGAAAGTAAATAAAAGTGTCAAATTACATAGCTTTCATTAAAATGATTACTTTTTACATTTAAAAATGTCTACCATTTAGCTGTAGACAGTGAGGAATTGGCTAATGTTATTGGTTCAAAATCTGTTTTTATCATAAAGTATTGTGTAATTTCCAATGAGAAAGGGATTTCCCCCCCAAAAAGCACTACTGCTTATATGCATTGAATATAATCATTGGATTTGTAATAAAGGAAGGATAATAAGGAAGTATTTTACTTTTGGTATTTAACGTTTAAGTCTGTTGTGCCTTTGTGCAGTGCTCTGTGCAGACAGCCAGCCTCTAGGGATGAACAGTGGTGTGAAACAAAAGAAGCTGGATGAGGAGGGTCAATGAGGAAAGGGGATTGGGGTTGGGGGAGGGTGGAGGAGGGGGATCAAGTGTCAGATGTCTGTCTGGTTTGCCAGGCCTTATGGAGGGTCTCTTTCATGTATGTGTGTGCCTGTACCTGTCTATGTATCCATCTGTCCAGTTCACACACAGCCTGATACTGAGGCTAAAGGTTGGCACTCTAAGGTAGACACATTCATTGATCTTTCTGGAAAAGCCCAGGGCTCTCTGTTCTGTTGATGCCACGCTCTCTCACACTGTGGCCAGGCTCTCTGCTGTATTACCTGATGGAGACTGTACCAGAGCCTCCCTCTGGTGTCTGTTTTAGCACTGTTTGTCACTGTAACTGGCTCAGCAGTATGCACACTCCCACATCCATCTGGCCGCAGACACAGAGGCACACAGACTAGTGATCACATTCACACAGATTTGCAGAGAAATAAATACAACATATAATACAGACAAAGCATGTGACACAGGAGAGCATACATTTAGAGAGCAAAATTATAATTATTTATACAGTATCATCAGGATGGTAAACAATACAGTTGGGGAAATGAGACAATACAACATAGTAGACCAGTTTCATAATGAAAGGTAAAAAAAGAAAATACTGTTAAAAGATAATCAAATCAAGTCCAGTTATTTCAAAAGGATTTAAAAACAAAACGATAATTAAGTTTTCTATATGACCAGGTTTTTTAGCAGACCTAGCCCAATGTTATCAAGTTAAAAGCTAGCTATTTTATATAATCTGTCCCAATGAGATCCACAACAAATACAAGGATTCATAGTGTAATTGTGACAAGAGAAAGAAAACATGAAAATAAAACTCAGATATAATTTAGTGGAACTTCCGCAAATCCTATTTTATAATCTTAATCTTATTTCTTGTGAAATACTGGAATGTTTGACCTCTTTTGGTCCCTTACAGTTTTCTTCTTCTTTTACCAACGTGTCGTGTTTGGTAGCATGCATTAGTTGGCTTGCCATTGAATGCAGTGGAATCTTCCTCTGGTCAAGCTGTTTAGTAGAAAATTATTATTCATAAACTTCTTGTCTCATCAGCAGCATCTATATTGAGCAGGTTTGAGTCCTGGGTTTAAGGTGCAGTCATTCTTCTCCAGGACACAACAAGGCCCGGTGCAGTGTACAGTAGCAGCACTGAGATACAGCCATGTGCAGTGTGTTTGCTGGTCAAGCTTTATTTTTGTGTAGTGCATCCATGTGTCATTTACACCAACCAATATATTGTTGGAGGACTAATTGTGGCTCTCCCTCTCAGCTGTTTATATTGGTGAAAGCAAAAAGATGGATTTGAGGAGGGTGGATGTATTAGTGGGTTTGGTCCCATTTTATTTTACGAACAGCTCTCTTTTTGAAGCACGCGTGTTCCTTTATCAAACCAGATGCCTCTTTACCTGAGCAAATATCTGAACATTGTGGGGGAAAACTTATGTGTAGCAATGCAGTGGGAGTCACCGACTCAGGAAGGGGACACGGGGAGAGCTGGAGCTTAGATGTCCAACTCTGATGGTTTATTAGGAGCTTCGGCCGGAGAATTCACACAACAAATCACAGAACCAGAGGTTCTGACTTCACGGTAGAGTTGCCACGTCAATTCTACCCCAGACCCATGTATTTAGCTAGTTCAGAGAGAATAATCAACATTGTGCATAACAAGATAGAATCATAACACCTCTATCAGCTGACGGCAACAGGCAGGAACAGGGAGACAGAACACTGAGAGCACAGCATAAAAGGTTACAGGTGCGTGTGCTCAGTCAGGACAGTATGAACTGATAAACTGGGTCAAAGTTATGGGCTTTGGAAAATATTTCCCTTACAAACATGATTGGCAGTTCCAGGTCGGTTTTGATGCAGAGCAGGATCCAGGTGTCCCTAATACGTCCCGTCATGCTCACCAACTGGGGAATTTGCATAGTAAGGAGGTTAAAATAGAGAAACATTTACATTTGAAATGAGAGAAATGCAAGGGGAAGCTTGCCAGCTAGATAGGAAGATTGCTATCACTCTCATGTATGTACAGTATAGATCTAATTACACCTTGCAGCTGGTTTACTTAGATGAGCATTAGGCTGGAAACAGGAGGAATCAGTTAGCCTTGATAGGTTCAAAGGTAATAAAATCTGCCTTCAGACTTTATTTTTTAATCTGGATTAATTAGGTTAATTCATGTTCTTCAGGGGTGCTGTTAAGTGGATTGTGTTACTTTTGGACAGAGCCATATAAGCTGTTTTCCCATGTATATTTACAAAGCTAGGCTAACCAGCTTGTGGCTGTAGCTTTATATTAGTGTGCAGACAGGAGAGTGATATTGATCTACTAATCTAACCTTCTGCAAATTAAGGTTAAATGGTGATTGTATGGCATTAGCCCAGGATGCAATCAACAAATTAACAACTTAGAAGTTAAATACAGTCAGCAGTTTAGCAAATAAACAACAAAGAACATGTTTCTTATTTGCGAGTTTTGCAGCATGTTACCTTCCCTTTATTTTTTCTCTTAAAAAGCGTTGACAGTTTATGCTTTATGGATAAATAAAGATGACATGTCTATCTCAAAAACAGTTCAAAAGACAGTTCATCTTTGCTACACAGTTTTACAGAATGTGAAAAACGAGGCCTGCTGTCAGCTTAGGGTTTCAAGGTTTAACAGCAAAAATGTGACGACAGTTGTGCCGCACTAGACTTGAAATATCTTTTGGTCCTTTTTATGATGTTCCTCCACTCTCCTGTTTCCATGTTAAAATGTCATACTGTAACTCCGGCTTTAATGTTGTTTTAGTTCTCTTCAGTTAAAGTATAACTATAATATACTATTTAAAAAACCATGATAAAGGTGATGATGAGGCTATTTTTTGTAATGTTTTTATTCTCTTTGTTTATTATCTGTTGATGTACAGAAGTCATTTAAAGGGTCACTGTACTTTTATTAAACTGAAGACATCTTATCCCATAGTCTTTTTCATATTAACAAAATAAATGAAACTACAGTTCCCATGATGCAATAGCTTACGTCAGATCCTCCATGTCTAGAACTGCACCACTGACATTTTTATAACCTTCAAACTCCACATCTCAAGTTCAGATAACACTTTTTGAGTGCCTCTTCATTTAGCAGGAGTTTTCTTGTATGAATTTGGCCAAGCACCACTTGAGTTTTGGAATGTTCAGGGGATCATATGCTGTATAAGTTTAACAAGCAGGAGCTTTATTTTTTCAAGAAAATATGAATCCCCGTCACACATTTCAGTGCCTGTGAAGTGAGAGTCACATTTTGGGAAAGGGATGGAGGGATTCAGACATGGAAAGACAGAGGATTGGAGGGATCAAGAGTAAGCAAGTAGTGAACGAGTAATAAGCAGTCACTGTTTATGATTAATCAGGAAAGTCGTCCAAGCAGCCAGCTGATTTCCTAACAGACGGTGTTTGTAATGTCTTTGTGAGTGTGAAAGTCAGCTGTTAAAATCCACCAAAGTGTGCCCCTCAATTGTTTCACAAAGGTTATCTAACTCCCAGAATTGGTATACCAGTAATACAGATATATGAAGAGGAGGGATAGAAAAAGAGAGAGAGGAAGAAAGAAAATCTTAATTTTCCTAAGGGGTGCTGACTAATATAAGACTCTTGGATCTGTTCCAACCATCGACTGGATATCTAAGGTTCAAACATGAGTCAGATCACATATCATGGCTAAAAGAAAGATCTCACACACATACACATACGTACACACACACACACACACACACACACACACACACACACACACACACACACACACACACACACACACACACACACACACACACACACACACACACACACACACACAAAGTCCAGTGCTCCACCACACAAGAGATGAGCGCCAGTTGAAATGGTTTGCATAACGCTTGGCACATGCAGAGGGCGGCGATGGAATAGCTGCTCCCATTAACAAAGCTATAAAACACGGTCCCACTGACAGAGGGACTTAGTTGAGCATTATATTATGATTAGCCAATGATACTAAAACTCTGGGAGAGAAATGGCAGCGGCTCCGATGGTACAAAAGGAGAGAGGGAGGGAGCGAAGGGGGCAGTGAGTGTCTGAGCTTTGCTGGATGTGTGTGTTGTAAGAAAAGATGCTTAGACTACCGAGGTGATGATGAGGCCCGGGCTCTGTCGGGAGGACCACCAGCTGGGAGTTGGGGTCTTGGGTGAGCGACCCCATGACGGGCTGCAGACCCGCTGGGAAGCCGGGGCTCATCGCCACGTGACTCAGACCTGGAAAACAATGTATTTAGTCAAATGAGGAAAGCATTTACATACTTATTTTACTTCTCTGAAAAGATTGTGGTTTGCATAAGGAATGGACCATGTGGAATCCACTGAACCAAAAACAAAACACATGTAGAAGAGAGCACCCTTTTAAAAACCATTTCCTTGTCTTTTTGTGTGTCTTTTGCCAGGTGTGTCATGTCAAGACTAAAGGACTCAGATGTTAGTCACTTCAATTAAAGTAAGACACAACGTTATATTGTGGCTTGACTTGATTGATATGATATGAATATGATTTGATGACAAAAAAAGTCAACGGTTTGCTGTTGTTATTAAACCTATGTTCTGTCAATAAAGGTTTGTAAATGTATAGTTTTAAACACCTGGGTTTCTTACATTAAAACATGAATTAAACATTAAAGCATGATGAACGTTGGCCACATGGTTGAACAAAAGACACATGAAAACAATAATCAATAATAAAAGACCTTTCACAAACCCCTACACTGACTTACATGTGATCTAAAAACATACAATTAGACAGACAATGTTTTAAGCACTGCAGGTTTGCTGCAACTTGTTTTAAATTAAGACTGTAGACTTTAAAGTTTTACCGTTGCCTTTTCATTAAATCTAATATCTTACACCGCACTCTCACTTTGGTTTTTGTTTTTTATACCTACTCTATCTAACAAGTTTTAAAATGTATTTTATATAATCCTTCTGCTGCCATATGTCTTAATTATTTCAATGTTTATTGGAAGGCACTTTAAATTGCCTTGTTTTAAAAATGTGTGGGACACAGATACACTTTCCATACCCATAAAACATTATGATGCGCCCCTCCACTCCGCTCTACTCACCGTATGAGTGTCCCATCCAGAGGGAGGGACTTCCTGTGCGTTGCATCCAGTGGTGGTGGGCCGGATGAGCGTGAGCGGCCGGGTCCGACCCCAACCTGCTCGCCCCCCCGGGAACCAGGAGGTGAGAGGTCAGGTCTCCGTGGCAACTACTGGAAGGGTGTATCCGGGCGAACTCCACGCGCTCCTTGTTTTCCCTGTTGAGGCGTTGAACTTTGTCATTATCTTCATTATCCCTCTTATAGTCACCATCACCATCATTATGATCATTATCTTCATCCTTGTCATCTTCATTACCACTACTACCATTATAATCATCAAGAAAAAGGAAAATGTGATGGCAACAGGAACAGCTATCATCTTGTGCCTGGTCTATGAGTTCTCATTATATGTGTTCTTCCCCTAATATGACTACATAATAAGAGCCTGATACTTCAGAGACATTCGTATTAGTCCCTGTAACATTAATGCACCACATCTCATCTTAGAGAGGGGGGGGGGGGGGGGGGCAAGAGAGAGTGAGGGTACAGGAAATACACATCAAGGTGAGAAGAGTAAATGGAGTGAGGGGATGAGAGAAAAGAGAAGCAAGCCGGCAGACTGGAGAAGAGAATAAAAGAGTGCAGCTATCAGACGAGAAGAAAACCTGATAGATGCTACCAGGTTGCACTGGTGTTGTTGTGGTGTGTGTGTGTGTGTGTGTGTGTGTGTGTGTGTGTGTTGTGTGGTGTGTGGTGTGTGTGTGTGTCTGTGGATGGTGTGTGTGTGTGATCTTACCTCTGATCATTTCTCTGTCAGATGACATGAGGTTGATCTGCTCTCTCTGTCATCCTCTCCTCTGCCTCTGCCTCCGAGCCCAGAGGATACATGGGGCGTGATACTGCTGTAATACAATCCAATAGTGACATTAAATATCATCGACGGCTGTTCAGACCAAGTACATCTGAAAGCAACTGAACTGAAGACTATGTGCAGACCGCTCGGTACCATAATCTTATAATACGTGGTTTTTTTTGTGTGCAGAAATTGTTCTTTGTTCTTGTATAGCGCATCACCTCCACTGCTTCATATAACTATTTCAATAACATTCAGGAATGTCTCCTGTATCCTGGGTTGCAGTCATTTGACAGGCTGGGTCCTGTGTGTAATAATCAGATTAATTACTGTGTAATAACAGTGTAATATCAGGCGGCCTCCAAATTACAGTGTAATATGGGTATACAAATGGCGTAAATAGGAGGTAAATCTGTTGTAACATGATTTAGTGGGTGTATTAATGCATAATAGGGGTGTCGACAGGGGCTACTAATACAGTGTGAATATGGGATATTAAAAGGGTTTAATTTGGGTGTAATCAATGGAACTAAGTATACGCGCTGTACGACACGGATGGTACTTCATGTCTACTATGTAGTGAAATCAGCATATTAATTATTCCAAATATTATATTGATGCCACATTTAACCAGGTTAAAAATCAGAAGGCTGTTGGTCTAAAGTCCGCGACATGCTTAAAGCTCTCTGCTATTGTCTCCATTTGCCGGCGTAATTACGGAAAGGAAGTCTCAGTAAAATCCGCGGCTCCCCCCCACCCCACTTTCCTGGCTGTCACCTCCCACACACCCTACCCCTACCCAATGCCCCGTCCGCAGAACAACACATTAGGGACAATGTCGTTTCCCCATCCTGTCTGCGCTCCAAACTTAATCTCTCTGCTCACAACCCCTGGGGTAAGTGTAAAATTGTTTATTTCCTTCTTCAGATGTGACCATCTTCTTTAGCTCATGGTTCTAATTTATCTCCTCTTTATAGGAGTGGGCCTCATGTCGCCGCTTATTGCGACTTTATACTAGATACTTATTCTGTGGTTTAGATACTTAATTTTATTTGCATGCCATACTTAAACGTGGTGTTTAATGAAAGCTGAGATGCCTCATTACCCCCGCGCCATATCATCTCCTCATCATGTAGCTTTAGATTAATTGCACCTTATTTCACATCAGTATCAACTGATATCCTCTTTCTTCAGCGATTTGTACACGGCTTTGCTTCGATCTTTATACTCATCGATAAACAAGCTTCCTTTCGGCAGACGAGCTGATGCGCTAATACATCTTCGACAGGAAACACAACGCTGCGCGAGCGGTCCTTGCAGCTTCCGTCAGGCCGAGACAACGGCATGACTTCTCAAACACTAGTTTCAAAAAAGATAAAGACAAACTTCCTGTCACATCTCCAGGTGAGTTCGCTATGCACATGTACCATGTTGTAAATTGCAGCACATGGATACGACATATATCTTTTATAATCGGTTCGAGATCTGATGTCGTCTGAAAACAAGTAAAAAACTTTTTGTTAAATTGAGCAGCTGCAAGAATATAGACCACCTCAGAGGAGTACTTTTTTAAGCAGCGAGCTTTTGGCAATTCTTCGTATCTGTTTATCTCTTCAATTTGATCATTAATATGAACGCTGCGAGAATCTGTAGTAAGTTGTTCAATGTCACTTTTCTTTTTTCTAGACCTGAATATTCTTTACAATGGATCTCCCTTCTGAAATCGAACCATTACCCAACTGCTTTGACCCCAAGAAGTTTGACTGGCAACATTTCTGCCCCAAGCCAGAAGGATTTCTAACCTCAGAAAGAAAGTATAAGGAGTAACAGTATATTCAACATCCGTATTCCTTCCAAAGTTGTCAGAATAAAGTTTGATAAGCTTACTTATTGTTGCTTGAATCTGCTGGCGGCTCAGCCACCCAGCAAATACCATTAATACAACACTAATTTTTGATAAACAACTCTAACATGTACGCTAAAAAAACACCAACAGACGAAATAACAAGATAGAGTTACCTTTCACACTCCACCGTAACCTAATATGAAGCTACAGCTATGCTGGCTGTGCAAAAACTGAATGATAAAGAATTTTGTTTTTATTGGATAATACTGTTTCAGTCTGTGGACCAGAGCAAAGCAAGCGTTGCATTTCTCAAGTATACATGTTATATATCTGAACATAGTTAATAGCTCAGCTACAAGAGAGTAGACAGTAGAGACAGAAAGCTCTTTTTCAACTATATTCTTCTAAGCCAGCGACAGTGAGCACAGTGGGCATAGAAAAACATTCTAGAAATTAATGACCCATGCTGGACCTGTGCCTCTCTCTCTGTCCTCTGTCAGCCATTCGCCTGAGGGAACCACAACGACCACCCTCCAGTCCTCGACACCGACGTGTGGCTGATCCTTTTTTCCCCTCCTTCTTTTCTGCTATTAGCGCCTATCAATATTCGCGAGGTCCCTCTCATAGAGTGAACGCGACGCCATCCATGACGCATATCCACTCACGCGCACCGCGCGCGCGCCGCCGTTGACGACCGCGACCGCCGTCAGCTCCTGCGGGACACGTCGCGCGTCCTGTCGCTCACCCAAGCTCGCTGCCGCCACGCGCGACAATCGCCGGATCGTCACGTTGAGGAGGGACGGGGAGGAACGGGTAAGCCAGGAAGAGTGACAGCGGGAGATGAGGAGGACGAGAGAAGATGAGGAGCGCGTAGGCGTAGGAAAAAGATGGTGACACTCGAGATAATACTCAGGGCGCGACGCTTACTCGATGCGCAGAGGACGCAACCAGGCTAACGCGTCGTCAGAGGCAAGTGGAGGATACGAGGCGGAAGGGATCGAAGGGGAAGAACAGGGACAGCAGTTGAGGGCCGGATCTGTTCGTAGAATCAAAGCAGCCCTCCTGAGTGCACCTGCTGACGCGACGCCGGGAGTGAGGCAAGAACAGGATACCTCATCCGCTCCGCCGCAGAACACGACTTTAAACATTAATACAAGAGAGGCTTTGGGAAATCCTTAGAATCGTCCATAATTATCGTTAAATATTTCTAAATACATTTATTTCCCAACATTAGGCTTCTCTTTTTTTACTAGGGAACATCCTGGACCTCTATAAAACAGTCCACACAAGTGATTTAATAGCTAAACAAACAATGAATCCACTGAAAGATACGTATACGTTGTCCTGTCATGTGCCTCAACTACCACTCCGTACCACATTTTGCCGCCGCCTAATGTCATACAACGTTCACCTTTTATAACGCTACCCACACCGTACAGTCTCGAACTCATGTACTATGGCCAGCAAGCACTGCGAGTGTACGTATCTGACTTTTTGTATTCCGCTTTTACCAATGTTTGACTCTCGATTCACAAATATAAAACACAGCAACCCTAATCTTGAACTAGCTTCGTAGTACGTTCTGTAGTTCTGCAATCTAACACAGCTTTTATCGGTATTCAAAGAACTCATGCCTCAGACGATTGATGTTAGACTCTTCTCCTGAAACATTGTCATTTGAACAATTATTGATTTAACGATCGCACAGAAAATACAATGTACTTTAGGCAAAAAAAACAAGTGGGCTCCATACTCTCAGATACCACCAGAGTTGCACAATGAAAACATATTTTGGAGTTCGATGGTTAATGTGAGACGCAATCACAATGTAAACGACTTCTGCTGCAGCCTCAAATGATTACTGTATGAGTAGCTTAATTATTGCTAGTCTCATCAACAGTAAACTCATTAAGCATAGGCCACATGACATGGAACCAGCCAAAAACTATACGCATTAGGATCACGGTATACCCCTTGGAAAAGGACTAGATCCAGGAAAGGCACTAAAACTACCCATGACTAATTAACACCTTCCCCCCGCCGTTTACCCCGGCGGGACATTCATTCGAAGCGCCAGTCACTACAGTGTTGTTTCGCGCGGTACGCCCCAACTCCAACTCAACAAATACCACACTACGCCACTCCATAAACCCAATATACTACGATCCTCGCCTCGGTCGGTGCTCACAATGGGGATGAGCCTCCAGGACAGCGCAGTCGCCTTCGCATGTAATGCAGGATCCGTATCATATTCCCCTGGCATTCCTCCCGCCTTTCTTGGAAGATCCTTTCCTACTAAATACAACATATGCACNCTCATCTCCCACACACACACACACACACACACACACACACACACACACACACACACACACACAGTGTGTGTGTGTGTGTGTGTGTGTGTGTGTGTGTGTGTGTGTGTGTGTGTGTGTGTGTGTGTGTGTGTGTGTGTGTGTGTGTGTGTGTGTGGGAGATGAGTCAGCAGTGGATGAGTCTCACTCAGACAGACCCCTCCCTCACCTCAGAAGCTCTACCCAGGGTACAGGGGGCACATCCCGGGTGCAGCGTGCAAGACGACCCCCTGTGTGCAGAGACAGCTGGTGGAGGCTGCAGCCAGACGAGCTACGATTGGACGCAGAGAGGAAGTGTTAACTGTCAATTCAATTTAAGAAGAAAAAACACAAATGCATTAAAAATTAACTAAATTGGCTTTTGGGACGCAATCGCACCAATGCATTCTGGGTTAATGTGGTCCCCATGGGGTGGAGACCTGGTTGTTTTTTACCCTTTTTGTTATTTTACTTAACCTAATACGGTTAAATGTTAGTATTAGTTACTGATTGTTCATATTACATTTAAATACCATATACACACTAACTAAATTGGCTTCTAGGACAAAGTTGCACCAACTATGGGTTAATTTAGTCACTATGCGGTGAAAAATGTGGTTGTTTTGGCCCTTTTTGTCAGTACACTTAACCAAATCTTACTATTTGTTAATGATTGTTCACACTAAACTTGTATTCCAGATACGCACTAGGGAATATTTTTAAAGTAAAGCCTGTTTTGTGTAACACTGGGTCAAAATAACCATATTTTATGGAAAATAACACCCACTGCATACAAATTCCCAAAAAT